GAAGCACACCCAGAAGGAATGGGTGCTGAGGACAAGCATTGCCCATTTTGTAATTTAAAGGACACTGACGGCAGTACCAAGGGAGGAAGACTTAGTCCTGCCAAGGCACGCACAGGATGTGTGAATTATCTGGGCTATGAAGTGAGTCATTCTCTCTTTTTTTTTTTTTTTTACTATTAGGACTGGGTTAAAATTACCAGGAAAAACCTGTTGGGGGAAGCAAAGCCTCATTCCAAACCCCTGTGACTTTTCCTCTAGAATTTTGAATGGAAAGTCCTCAGCTCCAGTACAAGGTGTATTGAGGAGGGGCAGGAAGGAGAGAGAATGAATGAAAAGTCCCTGGATGCAATGCATGGACACCAGGTCTGTTCTGCTCCCTGACTTCTGTTTAGCAGTTAGCGTTGGGGGACAGTGTATGTGAGGAACTCAGAGGGGGGACGAGGCCTCCTGAGTGACACACTGACCTCATTTGGAAGGCTGCAGTGAACCCATTTCCTGAGCAGCAGACCTCTGTGAATGTGTGTCACTAAGAGCAGGGGCCTCCCCAGGAAACAGTCTAGATGGCCAAGGATGACTGGGAAGTGCCTGGCTGGGAGGGGCTCTCTGAGTGATGATTTCTAAATGCACCCAAGGAGCATTATCCCAGCAGGACACTTGGAGGCTTGACCCTAGGCATGGGATGAACAGCTAGCAAACAATGGGTTGGGCTTGCCTCCTGGCTTAGCCTGAGAAGCTATGCCCTGGTTACCTATGACTCATGTCCCTCCATACCCCAGCCAGGGGGGCATGATGGGCTCTTTAAGTAAATTTGATTTTTGAATTGAGCCTCAAATGCATCCTATGGAATTAACTAAAATCAAACCAAATTCGCTGCTGTTAAATATATTCTGACTCATATGACCCTACGGGACAGAGTAGAACTTTCCTCTGTTTGGAATCAGATGATTTTAATGAGGATGGAGATGTGGGCCCAGATGGGACTTCCTGTTTATCTTGGGCATAGTGACCTGGAAATGTTCATTTGCACTCTAGTGTTTGCTTCCCCCACCCCGCCTCCAGGTTGACTCAGTGGGGTATACTCATCATCTAGGCAGCCTCCCCCTCTATATCACACTGCAGTTTGAAAATTGGTGCCAGCAAATCGCATCACTGATTCTTTCCTCCTCGTAAAATGCCTCTTGGTTCTGTCCTTACTCAGCAGCTAAGAGGCCAATGGATGGTGATGAAGAGAGGGGCAGAGTTGAGGAAGGTGAGAAGTGTCTGGGTCAGTTAAGAAATGCCTGGGGAGAGGCTTGCGGGGGCACTGAGGCCTCCAGGAGAGTTATACACGTGTGCTGAGATCTTCTCATGGGACTCCAGAGTGTCATGGATCTCTGCCGAAAACTGCACCACCTTGCTGAGAGCTGAACAGTTGGCAGGTGGCCTGGAGCTCTGCTCAAGCTCTGGCCCAAGGGCTCACGCCATGAGAGTCCTTACTCAGAGATCCTAAACTGGCATCTTTAGAGCTGAGTCTTGTCTACAAATGTGCTTTATTTGGTCTTCTTAGTAATTATACATTTTAAACTTTTATTTGGAATACCTGAAAATCAAGACACTTCACACTAAGAAAATCTGAATTTATAGCTTCACTTGAAAAACCAGAAGTGTTTGCCACCTGGGTTCACATTCTCACGTGGCAATGATCAGCTGCCTTTGCAAGACAGGGCGTGAGTTCTCTTAATTACTCACAGTCTCCACCTGGCCCACTTAACTGCTTGGCCCCTGTAAATATTTGCATCCATAATCTGTGATAAAGACTTCTAGAATGTCAGAGCTAGGAAAGTGATTAGAGATTACCTCATTCCAACTTCTCATTTTCCAGTTGAGGAAATGGAGGCCAGAGAAGGGAAGAATTTCCCACAATCATGTAGCCTGGACTAGCACCCAGGTCTCCTACTCCCAGGTCTTGCAGCATGGTTTATTGGCCCTTCACAACTATGTCATCAATTGAGAGGATCATGAGAGCCAGCTGGTCTTAAATCCTGCGCCTCACCGATTATTGATGGGTCTGGGAAACAAAGGCTCTGACGTATAAAATGTGCCTGATACCATCCTCCAGCAACTCCTCAATATCCTGCTAACACTCTCCAGGGATAGAAGCAGGTCCCCATTCCCTCAGAATCAGGACAGTGGTCTACAGCTCAGAACATGATTGGGATCAGAAAGGATGTTAACCCCTCTCATTCTGGCTACTTGAGAACCCATGGATCAAATGAAGCCCATAGGAAATGGGACTGTATTATTTAGGATAACCCATTGCCATTGAGTTGATTCTAACCCATAGCAACTCTGTAGGACAGAGTAGAACTGCCCAAGGCTGTAAATCTTTACAGAAGCAGACTGCTTCATCTTTCTCCTGCAGAGTGGCTGGTGGATTTGAACCACTGACCTTTTGGTTAGCATCCAAACATTTAATTATTGTACCACCAGAGCTCAAATCTAAGTGGATTACACAATAGAAATTGATTTTCACTCAGTAAAGCCCCAGACAGATGTTCCGGATTAGAGGTGGTTCTCCTGCAGCTAGTGATTCAGGAACCCATTTTCTTTGCATCTTATGGTTTCACCATCTTCAGCACATGGCTTCCTGTTTCCATTGAGGGGGGAGACATGGAGAAACGGCTAGTTTTAATGGGTTGAGCCTTTATGTGACGTTGATCACTCCCATTCCCATTGCACTCAGTCCCATGGCCACACTAACTTCAAGGGATGCTGAGAATTAATCTGGCTGTGTGCCTGTGGGAAGAAGAAATGACTATGAAAGCTAGGGAGTCTAGAGACACATACCTTCATGGAAGCACACATGCATGTGTGTGTGTGCATATGTGCATATGTGTTCAGGCAGACACAGGAGGCTGTTGGAGGAGAGGAAGCGGAGTCCGTGTCAGAACGGCGGAAGCACTGTTCCTTCTCTTTCTGTCTCATCACTTTTCTTGATTTAGACCCACTCATGAGTCAGAGTCAACTGGATGGCAACTAACAACAGCAACAACAAAGATAATGGTCCCTCCAACTGAACCCCCAACCTCGTCTTGCCAACAAAGCTGCCAGAATGAGCTTTCTAGGATCAGAGGGTTTCATCCTGGAGATCAACTGGTTCTTATAAACTGGTCTTAGAAAGGGGAGGAAGGCCACAACCCATCTCCTGCCACCCACCCTGCCCCCCCCGTTTTAAACACAAAATTATGAAACCTTAGCCAGACAGCAGACACATAAAAAATGATTTATTTATATTACCAAAGGAGTCTTTATTTTTTAGTTATCATAGGATCCTAGCAGATGCCAAGAGGACTTCAATTAAAATCCTGATTAGAGGGATCAAGGAACATTAAGACTAGAAGAGTGTTTATAGATCATTTAATCCAATCACTCTGGGATCACATTGAATCAATACCTTGGCATCACATCTCTTACATAAAACAAGGTTCACCTGGGTTACGAAAGTCTCATCTCATGTTTTCCTGCTTCGTTTCTTTCACCACCTTGATCCACCAGTTATCTGCTCTTTCATATCGACAGCTTTTCCTCTATCTGTTCTTCCCTCCCCCCGCCAGCTTTTAAGCAAGTCCAAGTATCTTCCATCTTAAATCCTACCCCCAGCAGAAACCCCTCCCAGCTCTTTGTGGTCTACCCCTCACCTCTCTATTCTCATCCTCACTACTCTCAGCTAATCTGCAAACCAACTCCAGTCTTGCTGAAATCTGCCTCAAGCCACTGGGGCACATTCTCTGCTATCACGACTTGGCACGAGCTTCTCCCTTTGTTTGGGTTGCCTTTTCTTCCCCTTCCTCACCCCGCACCCCCTCCGCTACTCCTGGGCTGCCTTTATGACTAAACAGAGGCTTCAGGAAGCATTTTCCGAGTAAGTGTTTCTAGGCAAGATGCTACTTCTTTGTAGCATTTATCACAGTCTAATTAATTATATATTTACTTGTCTTCCTCCCTGGAGCTCACAGACTGTCTTTTACTCAGTGTCCTCAGAGCCTGGCAAGAGTAGGGACTCAATAAATGACAGCTGACTGATGGAACAGATTCATCTTAATTACACAGGATGAACTGGCTGTTTGTTCACTCTGCCTTTGAGGCTCAGTGTCTACTGTAGTTCCAGTGTTTGGCATCTTTCACCCAGTGGGATGCTTGTCTCAAATGTGGGCAGCCTCTCCAGAGGCTGGAGAAATGCAGGGAAGAGGCCGGTTCTCCTGTGAAATTGCACCCACTCCCCTCAAACGCTGGAGTCTGTGTCAATGTCAAGTCCACAGGTGAGCACAAGGGACAGAAATAGCCCCCTCCTTCCTACCAAGGAAGGCTAGTTCTTCAGTTTCTGGCTTCTATCCACTTAATCCACACTCTTCTTTGAGGGATTTCGGATGCTCATGGGCCCTTGCTTTCCTGTGGTGACATGGAAACCATCCGTGGTTCTCTCTGGCCTGAGCCATAAGTTGGCCTGAATCAGAGTCTCCTTCCAAGTTCATGGTCATATCATGTACTCCTCTGTTCCATCTGCTCCACTGCCCCACACACACACTCCCCGTCCTATTGCAAGTTCCACTCAGCAGGGTCTGAGGCTTCAGTCTTATTCCTCAAAGGGTCTGACAAGTTTCAACATGCAATACTTGCTGAATGAATGAAAGGACATAGAGAGAGGAGCCTAGACTGGCCACAAAGGGGTGCTGTTCTTGGTTTCTAGCTCTATTAATGGTTCCAGAACCTCTCATTTTGGCTCAGCTTTGGCCCTGCTTCTAAAGGCTTTTTTGAAAACTCTTTGGGATAGCTCAAGGTATCTTCTTGGGTGAGCTCCACAGATCTGCTGCTCCCTGCCTTCCTGGAGCACGTGCAGAATGACCAACTCCTGTCCCAGTTTTCCTAGCACTCTTCCAGTGTTAGCACTGAAAGTCTTATGTCTGGGAGCTCAGTCCCAGGCAAATGGAGAAGAATCGTCACCCTCAGAACTCATCGCCTTTATGTCTCCCCAGGTGCACAATCTGCAGGAGCTTCGGCGAAGTGCCTCCCTGGCTACGAAGGTCTTTATCCAGAGAGACTACAGTGAAGGCACCATCTGTCAGTTCCAGACCAAATTCCCCCCGGAGCTAGACAGCCGGGTAAGAAGTCTCGTTCTACACTTGGAACACAGACCGGGATAGAACTGAGGGGCTTACTTGAAGGTATTTTTTTTTTCCCCTAGGATAAAAGTAATATCATAAGACACATGACATGTTCAGCCACATCACATAGAATAATAATAAATATCCTTAACACTGTCTTGGTATCTCTTCATACAAAGTTAGATTTGAAGAAACTTCAGAGATTTTCTAGCCCAACCCCAAACCCATTGCCTTTAATTCTGATTCAGTGTGACCCTATAGGACAGAGTAGAACTGCCCTATAAAGTTTCCAAGGCTGCAAATCTTTTATTATTTATTTATTTTAATTGTGATTTGGGTGGAAATTTACAAAGCAAATTCACTTCCCATACAGCAGTCACATACACTTTGTCTCATGACATTGACTACAATTTACCCCAATGCAACAGCTCCCCTCCCACTTCCTCCCGATAGTTACCTCTTCCCTGTGTCCATCCCTCCATGCACTCCTGCCCCCTGAGCTGTCTCCCTGTGCATAAACAGCCCTTCTTTTTCCCATGATTGATCTCTTCAGGGAGTGTATGTACCTCAGGTAAATGTTCAACTCATATGCCTGCCTTTTGTTTGGCTGGGTTCAATTTCAGACCTGATGGGCAGCTGGGGGCCGTAGTCTCAGTGGTTCCACCAGGCTCTGTCAGACCAAGGGCTGCAAATCTTTATGGAAGCAGACAGCCACATCTTTCTTCTGAAGAGCAGCTAGTAGGTTGGAACCACCAACCTTATGGTTAGCAGTCAATCACTTAACCACTATGACTTCTTTCTTCTAGCCTAAAATCCAAAACCTAACTCATTGTCATTGAGTTGATTCTGACTCATAGTGACCCTTTAGCACAGAGTAGAACACCCTCCATTGGGTGTCCAAGGCTCTGAATCTTTACAGAAGCAGACTGCCACATCTTCCTCCTAGAGCAGGTGGTGGGTTTAAACTGCTGACCTTTTGGTTAGCAGCCAAATGCTTAACCACTGTGCCACCAGGTCTCCTTTTAGTCCAAGCCAAAAAATTAAACTCTCTGCCATCAAATTGACTCTGACTCATAGCAACCTCATAGGGTTTCCAAGGCTGTAAACCTTTTTGGAAGCAGATTGCCTCATCTTTCTCCCAAGGAGCTGTTAGTAGGTTCAAACCACCAACCTTATCTTTAGCAGCTGAGTGCCTTAACCACTCTTCTAGCCCAGCAGCTCTCAAATTTCAGTTGCATGAGAATCACCTGATTTAAAATGTCAATTCTTGAACCTTATTCCATGCTGACTCATTTAGTGGACTGGGATCTAGAAATGTCCATTGTTTAAGCAGCAGTTCTCACCCTCAGCTCTGCATTAGTATCACCTGGGAAGCTTTAAAAAATTCTGATGTCCAGGCTGCACCCCAGACCAATTAAGTCACAATCTCTGGGACTGGGGCCCAGCATCAGTGTTGTTTTAAATCTCCCCAAGTGAGTCCACTGTGCAGCCAGCATTGAAGACCTTCGGGTTTTAATGTGGACTCTGCAGGAGATTTAGAGTCAGGTGATTCCTAGATCACCCTTTGAGAATCATGAGTCTTCTGTACCGGACTTCTTCTCAGGCTTGGCTGCACATTAGAATCACTCAGAGAGCTTCTGAAAAAAGTACTTTGCATGGAGTCAATTCAGGTAAGGTAGGTGAGACATGGTCTTTGCTCTGACACTCCCCACCCCATTTGAATCAGAATGTCTTGGAGGTGAGACTTGGGCATCTGCAGATGTTAAAATCTGCTCAGGTGGCTTAGCATGTGGCCAGAATTGAGAACCACTAAGCTCCTGTTCCTAAAACTGTGGTCTGTGGGCCGGCATATCAGCATCACCTGGCAGGGTGTTAGAAATGCAGACTCTCAGTCTGCAGTTTAGCAAGATCTTTAGGTTTTTCATCTATGCATTAAGCTGAGAAGCACTGCACGAATCTATCCCTCTCATTTAACAGAGGAAACTGAGGACCAGGAAGGGGAAGTGACCTACTTGTGATCTGAAGCAGGTTAGCAGCAGTGCCGGAAGGGCCTCAGTGCCTGACTCGTGGCTTTTGCATAGAGCTCATATCTTCTTAGTCATGCAATTGGATCTTTAGTGACTAGGGTTAGAAATGCATGGCTCTGTGGTCAGAGTCTTGGCAGGGAAAGCTTAGAGACCTAGAGGAAGATGCTAGCAGCAGCCGCTCTTCCCTCTTTCTCCCTGGCTTGGGCAGAGGGAGAGCCTAGTGCCCCATTCCAGAGTCTGGTGGTGGCTTAGAGGCAGTCGACAAAGGCTTGTGTCAAGGGCTCTGCCCATAGCCACACCCTCAGCTACTTGGAGGCCTCCTGGTCCAGGGGCCTCTTGCAGGGGGGTCAACTCGTTCTGTTGTGTTTCGCTCCTCTTCTGGGGTATATGTAGTCCTCATTCTGGGCTGTCTTAGAACTGGTCTGGGGTTGAGAGGAGGGTACAGAGAAGACCCCCATCCTTCCTTTCAGCAGCCCAGGCAGGCAGACCTGGATGGGGTTGGGAAGGTGGAGCAGGGCTGGCCTTGGATGATGTGATCCCAACCAGGTTTTGGGAAGCAGTGTGGGTCTCCTTCTCATCTTAGCATGTCCTTTGGGGTGGGGCGACCCCTGGGATAGCATAGCAGGGCTTGAACTGTGGACCAGATGGGTAGAATTTTCTTTGTGTCCCTTCCAGGTCTTTGTACAGGCAGAGGCTGGGAACCCCAAAGCTTCTGACTGCTCCAAAGGAGAGATTTTGCCCTAGACAGGCATGGGAGGCTTCTAAACTGTATGCTGGACAGTTGTAGTCCTGTGGGAGTGTGGCTGGGGAGGCAGTGCTCTGAAGAATGCGGGTAGGGCCACAGACTCTTTTATACCTGCTGAGTTTAGAACACACCCTTCCAGGCTGGCTGGTGTAGGGCTACATGGTGAAGATTATAGACTCTGGAGTCAGGGCTGTGTAACCTTGGACAAGTCCACTCAGTAGCCAGCAAGCATTTATTGATCACCTACTATGTATTGGGCCCTGAGGATATAGGATGGACAAACTCTCATGGAGTTTATTTTCTATTACTGAGTATAGAAAAGAAGGAAACAAGCAAGCCCATAATTAGTAGATCAAACAACAACAACAAACCCTAACTCATTGCCATCAAGTTGAATCCGACTCATAGCAATCTCTCCTTGGGTTTCCAAGGTGGTATCTCTATTCTGTAGAAGTAGGTGGTGACAAATACTAAGGAGTATAAAGGGAGGCCAGGGGGAGAGGGAGAGCTTGGGGAAGTAGGTGGTTGGGGAAAGCCTCTTGGATGAGGTGCTATCTGAGAGAAGATCTGGAAACAATGGGATGTCTAGAGGAGGAGTATTCCAGCTGAGGACACAGGCACAAAGGACCCAAGGCCTAGGCACACTTGGCACATATGAGGAGCAGTGGAGAGGACACTGTGGCTGGAGTGGGGCTGAGTGAGGAAGAGAGCAGCGGATGGGCTCAGAGAGGCAGCAGGGCAACGCCATGCAGGGCTGAGTAAGCCCCTGGAAGGACTCCTTGCCTTTCACTTGGAGAGAAATGGGAAGACTTTGCAAGCTGTTGGTCAGTTGTGTGACAGGATCGGACTTATATTTTCCAGGAGCACTCAGGCATGGGGCAGGCTGGGAGCAGAGAGACCAGTGGAGAGGCCAGAGGGGAGGGTGGCTTAGACCATAGGGTCAGTTTCCTCACTTGATAAATGGCAACAATAGTAGTACTTTTCTGATAGGATTACTGTGAGGGTTAAATGAAATATACCCACTCCTTACTTACCATAGTTAAGCTCCAAAGACCAGGTCCTTATGTGAAAACTGGTATTACACAAAAACGGAGGATGACTACATCGTTACAAAACTGCCAAACCATTGAGAATCGTGGCCCAGCCAAGTTGACACATAACCTCAACCATCACAGCCAGTGTTACTCTCACCTTGTACCTCAGCATCTGCTACTGCCAGATGTACATTGTTAATGCACAAATTATTGGATAATGGATTTTTCACTGTTGTCATAAATGTGGAACATCAGATAATGAGACTGTCAGCAAGTGAGGAGTAGATGCAATGCATAAAAAGTCCCTGCACACAATTCCATCAAGTCAATTCTGACTCATAGTGACCCCCATTGGGTTTGTGAGCTATGAATCTTTATGGAAGTAGATTGCCTCATCTTCTTCCCATGGAGCAGCTGGTGGGTTTGAATCACCAACCTTCTGGTTAAAAGCCACATGCCTTACCCCGCTACGTCACCAGAGCTCCTTACCTGGCACATAGAATGTGCACAATATTGTTATTATGGATGAAGGCAGGATGGCTTCTCAGTTGTCCACAGACACTATGGGGGACCTCTTAACTAGGAGGAAATGCCCCCTCCTCGAGACACTCTTGAGATCTCATTCCTCTTGCTTCGTGCAGCTGGAGCACCTACTAACTCAGTACAGAGATCTTTTGTTGCCATCAAGAAGCAGAGGTAGAGGATAATAAAGCTGCCCCAGGATTCTTATCGATCTTCTGCAGAAAACATTCACATCTAGGATGCCATGTGAGCTTCTTGTCTTTGAGAGAAGCCAAGCAGTTATTCTTATTCCCATCTTATAGATGAGGAAACTGAGGCCCAGAGTGGTTAAGCCATTAGCCCAAGGTCACACAGCTCGTTGATGGCCAAGTCTGGACTGGAACCCAGGTCTTCTGACTCTCAATCCAGTGCTGCTTCTGCTCCACCTGCACCTGCAGCCTCTCTGGTCTGGCCTGTGAGCCCATGTATTATTACCCCTCACGGCATCTCTACCAGTGCTCAAGCAGCCCCAATACTGCTACCTCCATGAGTGTCCATGCTCCAGGAAGGCTGAACTCAGCCTGGTCCCCTGTTCCCTCTCTTCCTCCAGATCGAGCGGCAGCTCTTTGAGGAGACTGTAAAGACCCTAAACAGCTTCTACGCAGAGGCTGAGAAGATTGGGGGCAGCTCCTACCTTGAGGGCTGCCTGGCCTGTGCCACGGCCTACTTCATCTTCCTCTGCATGGAGACCCACTATGAGAAGGTAGCTTCCCCCCTGCCCTGCCCCATGTCCTCTCTCCCTGGACTTCCAGCCTGCATGTTCATCCCTGACGGACCCTTCTTCTTCCAGGTTCTCAAGAAGATCTCCCGTTACATCCAGGAGCAGAACGAGAAAGTCTTTGCTCCTCGAGGTCTGCTGCTCACAGACCCCGTGGAGCGTGGGATGAGGGTTGTATCCTTCCTGGATGTTCTGTGTCAGGGCCCAGAGCAGCCAAGCCCAGCCAGGGCTTGTTCAGTGGGGTCTCTGGGGCAACCTGTCTGGCTGTGTGTGAGCCCACCAGGAATTGGGTATCACCCCAGGGGCCTCCACTCAGGGTTCCCCAGGATCACTGGTCACCACTTCCCCAGCATAAGTTAACTGTGCTATTTGTGAACTTCGGGGTTTGCATTTATGAAACTGCATTTAATCAATGTTCAATAGAGGCCAGAGAAGATGCTAAGTACTTTGGAAATATGAATTCACATGACTCTCAGAACAACTCAATGAGATGGGTGACTCCTTTTCCCCTTTATAGATGAGGACACTGAGGTTAAATCTTTGACTCAGGGTCACCTGACTAGTGAAGGTCAGAGCCTGGACTTAGGTCCAGGCTTAGTCCTAACCATGAAGTTATATTGCCCCTTTAGGAATATGCTAATCTGCCATGTGTTTCATGTTCACCATCTCACATGATCCTCATTAAATACCATGAAGGAAGTCCCATGATCCTCCTTTTGCAGATTTGGAAAATGAGGTCTAGGATGAGGCAACCCCCAAAGTCTCCATCCTGGTGCCAGGCTGGATGGGTGTGAGTGAGGGTGGAGGGTCATGTTCCACTCCTTCCACCCAGAACAGTGCAGTCAAGGTGCACACACATCCCTCCTTGTTACCCAGCAGCAACGAGAGAATTATTTTCAAAAAAATAAATGTGACTGGAAAACTCAAAAGGAAAAAAGTGAAACGCAGACGCCCAGAATCACATTTACAAAGCTCAGTGGGAGCACTTCCTTACTGAGCCTTGACTATGTGCTGGGCCTTGGGTTTGATGCTTCACATACATTCTTTGAAGCCTCACAATGGCCCCAAGGTTCTGCTATCTTCATTTGAACAGTTGTGATAACTGATGAACAACAAGTTAAGCGTCTAAGGTTACACAGCTTGTGAGTGGGTGAGTCAGGATTTGAACTCAGGGGAGCAAAGTCTCCACCACTGGCTGCTGAGGGAGGGAGGAGCTCGGTGGGCTGTGCAGTCCAGCCCTCCCCCCCCCAGCTTCGTCGTCGAGAAAGCCGCGCAGGCTCAGCCTGCCCTGCCCGCCTGCACCAACAGGTTCCCGGGGACCGCGCGTGGCAGCCTCTGCAGCTCCCTTAACAGCTGCCCAGATCGAGATCTCCATCTACGAGGACCGGTGCAGCAGCGGCAGCGCCAGCAGCGGAAGCAGCAGCGGCAGCGGCGGCAGCAGCAGCGGCGGGGGGGGCGGGGCGGGGGCCCGGTGACTGGCCGAGAGTCCCTGCAGGGAGGTGTACAGCCGGAGCGAGGGCCTCTCAGACCTGCGGCGGCTGCGCTACCAGAGCACCCGCTTCTGAGTCATTCTCTGGGCCCCCCACTGCCCGGGGGTGGGAGGGCGGGTGGCTGACCAGCGCCCCTGCCTCTCCCTCCCTGTCCGGAGTATAGATCCTTTTGCTAACGGGCTTGTTCCGGAAAAGGCCTGTCTGGGTCACAGGGAGCCAGACCTTCCTAGGGCAGGCTGGGGTGGGGAGGGCATGATCCCGGAAGCTTGTTTTTTTTTTTTTTTTTTTACATGGCAGCTCCTCTTCTGTCACCCCGAAGCAGGGCCCAGGCCTGTGGCCTAGAGGATTCTTGTCCTGCATGACCCCTTATCCCAAACCCCACTCCACCAGGACTCTGGCCAGATGGCTTTGGCTGAGGGGACTGCCTCCCCCAGGGCCCTGCTCCCCCACGCGTGTCTGCCAGCAGCTGCTCTTTCTCTTCTGATGCCACCCCGGGCCTCTGCCTGTCTATGACCCGGCCTCCACCAATTCCAGGCCTGGGGAGACGGGAGCCGTCAGTTTACGGATGCCATGGCTGTCCTGAGGACTCCCTGTCATCCGTCCAGAGCCTGGGGGCCATCTGGCCTTGCCAAGAAGCATCCAAGTTCTGGGAAACAGAGGCTCTGGGAGATTATAGGGGGGTCTGGAGAAACTCTTCATGGAGGGATGTGGCCTTGCGGGGCTGGAACCTCCTGAGCTGGAGCCATCTTCCTGAGATTACAACCTGCGTATGTGTGAGAATGAGTGTGGGTGTGTGCGCACATGTGTGAGTATGTGTGTATGAGCACATGCATGAATGAGTCCATGTTTGTGTGAGTTCATGAGTGTGAACCTATGTATTTGTGTATGTGCGTGAGGTGTGTCAGTGAACGTGAGTGTGACTACATGCGTGTGAGGTGTGTCCTCTTGTCTGCTAGGCTAGTACTGCCTCTCTGCATTGTCTTAACTACGCAGTGGGTTTGTGGCTTCTTCCCTGTGGGTCCAGCATGGCCTGTATGTGTCCTGAGGCCCTTCACTTCTCTACCTGGGGCTGCCAGCTTGGCTCTTCTTCCTCGGGGTTCCCCCACACATCACTTTTGGACTGTACTGTGTATATTCTTCAGAAAAGAAGTTGGGGTTCTTGAAGGCCAGAGCCAAGCTTCCAGGCCCTTCTGTGCCCATCTTCTAGCTGCCCCCACCCCCCACTTAGGGCAGTGGGGACACAGATGCTGCATATTTAGGCCCCCCAGGCTCTGGGGCTCTTTAAGGCTGTGTGAGGGAGCCAGCAACCTGCAGGAGAAGGCAAAGTCCCCCCACTTCCAGGGAAGAGGGGCCATCGAGCCAAGGATGCTCTGCCCCGAGGCTGGGGATGGGCCCGGTGGGAAGGGAGCAGCACTGGCCCTGGTGCCCTGAAGATGGGCAGAAAGAACCACCTACCTCAGCCAGCAGGAGGTGCTACAAATGGGCCTGAAAGACCAGCCACTGCAGGTGGGTTTCTGGAACCAAAGAGGGGCCTGACTTCCTTTTGGACATGTGAGCAGCGTGCGGGAACGAGGCTCCAACCCAGAGAGCTGGAGGGTTGGCCCAGCCCCCAAGGCCTCAAGGAGTCCTGAGCTTGAGTCCTGGTCCAAGAATTTCCCTGAAGTGGCTGCAACCCCTGGCCCTGGCCTGTGCCTTCCTGGGCCCCCTGTGTCTGACCAGTGCATCTCCTGGGGCGGGGTAGCTGGGCACAGGCAGTGGGATGGCCTTTTCTTTTGTTATTTTTCCAATAAAAGCATTGCCCAGCTTGAGGCTCTGTGCTGCTTTCTTTCCCCATGGTGATGGGGGTGGGGCCAAGTCCATGATCACAGTGAGAGATGCTGGGCTGCCCGCCCACCTCACACACTGGAGGTGGGACTGAGGCTACCACTGCTCTGTGCTTTCTATGAAGCAAGGTGACTCTGCCTTCTCGGAGCTTACAGTCTAGTGGGGAGGTAGGCATTCCTGATCCTCTAATCCAGAAGCCTGAATGGTGGTGCTTGTGTCCTTGGGTAGGTTGGGCAGGCCGCACTGAAGGCCAGGTCAGGAGTACTCATTTCTTGATCAAGTCCTGTTAGGGGCTGGACCACACATGTCAGTTAACACTGAGGACCAGAAGGCAGGTAGGTGTCAAAACCTAGCAGAGTTGTGTCTTGGAGTTTATTAAAATAACATTTATTGAGCACTTACTATGTGCCAGAGATTTTGCTAAACCCATATGCTAGAGCGGCAAAGGAACTTAAAGATCACCTGAGTCCTATCATTTTATAGCAGTGGAACAGGTCCAGAGAGGGTGACTTGTCCCAGGTTACATAGCTGGTTGGGGATGACAGTGTCAAGCTTAGAAATGGGGTCTGACTGAGTGCAAACTCTGTGACACCATTGGCATGGTGCCCAGATGGGAAGTTGCCTGAGGCTGCAGGGTGGCTAGGCACACAGAGGTCTGTGGGCCAACGCTCTGTTCCCAGGGAGGCTCTCACCAGACTGTGGGACCAACTGCTCACCCTCTGGGCAGGGAACTAGGGAGTCCTCTCTGGGTTGTGCTGACATGGGTATTTGCTGCCCCTAGGGATAGCTAGGCCTTTGCCTGAGCCCCGGGGCAGCCTGGACCCAACTGCCTCTGCTCACACCTGGGGCTTGCATGGGGTGGTCACAGGGAGGCTGTTCCCTAACGTGGGTAGGTTCATTCTCTCTGTCCTGTTTGGGGTAGGAAGTGTGTTCTCTCCGAGTCAGGCTTGAACCCCCCAGCCCACTGTTTTCGAGAGACGGCTGAGGATTTCCACACTGTGAAACCAGCTTAGAATGATCCCAGCTGAGAGGCATTCAGTCTTCTGATTTTTAAGTAATCATAACAGCCAACCATTACCTCGCATTCATTCCTCTGTGGCAGGCGCTAGGCTAAGGCTTTCCACCATTTAATCCTCACAACCCCCCTCCATGGTGTGCTGCTGTCGTCAGGTGCTGTCGAGCCGTCTCTGACTCGTAGGCACCCCATGTACAGAAGGAAGCACTCCTCAGTCCTGTGCCAGCCTCACAATCCCTGCTCTACCTGAGCCCCTCGTTGCAGCCACTGTGTCAGTCCATCTCGTTGAGGGCCTTCCCCTTTTTCGCTGACCCTCCACTTTACCAAGCATGATATCCTTCTCCAGGGAACGGTCCCTTCCGACAAGACCAAAGGAGGTGAGATGAAGTCTGGCCATTCTCGCTTCTAAGGAGCATTCCAGCTGCACTTCTTCCAGGACAGAGAAGGCTGGCAGTTCAAATCCACCAGCCACTCCTCGGAAGGAAGATGAGGCAATCTACTTCCGTAGTGATACTGCCTTGCAAACCCAAGGAGGGGTCGCTATGACTCGGGTCTGACTCAACGGCACATAACAACAACGACAACATGGCAGTCCATGGTTCTTTCAGTATCCTCCGCCAATAGCACAACTCTAAAGCGTCAACTCTTCTTCAGTCTTCCTTGTTCACTGTCCAGCTCTCACATGCATAAGAGGCGACTGAAAACACCATGGCTTGGGTTAAGTGCACCTTAGTCTTTAAAGAGACATCTTTGGGCTATTATTATTCCCATTTTATAGATAAGGAAACTGAGACTCTTGGAAGTTAAGTACTTGCCTAAGGTCACACAACTAAGAACTGGCAGAACTTGTCTTTGAACCTAGGCAATAGGACTCCAGCCTCAGAAACCCCCCCATCAACAGCCTGAGGTCCTCACCCATCTTAGGGTTAAGGTTTGGCAGATTCCTAGGAAGGACTTACAGCTGTGTCTGGGTGCCTTGGAGCCCAGAGCATCCTGGGAATGTGGGTGGGCTGTGTTAGGGGCAGCTCAGTGAAGGGCAGTGGAGAAAGAGATCCGACTCGCTGCAGGCCAGGTTATTTGTGGCTTCTCTCTGCTTACAGCCATGTGCCTGCATGCCCCTTGCCAGCCCTGGACAGGCCCTATCAGGACGGGAGCATCCCTTGGCCAGGCCAGCTGTTCCCCAGCTCCCATCTGAAGGCTCCAGCCAGCAGGCATCCCAGGTAACCCTCCTCTTTCACTGCCTCCAGCACTCCGTTTCTGGCCAAAGGCAGGGTGTGTGTGAGGCCACAGGATTTACAAAGTTTGAGGCGCCGCCGAGTGGTAGAATTGTCCACTGCACTTGGAATTAGATGCTTTCTGGACTGGGTTGTTGTGGAAACTTCCCTCATCATGTCAAGCCAGCAATTGCTTCCAGTGGGCCCAGGGTCTTCTGTGGCTTCCAGAAGCATTGGATGAAGGTGACGTCCAGTGGCCTCTTTTTCCCTGCAGCCAGGTCTTGGGTGCTGTCTTCCAGGCAACAGGATTCTTCTCAGAGTCTCCCCATCTCTGTTCTCCACACCCCTGAAGGACATACAGTAATTAAGCTCCCTGCCTGGCTGGAGACATCCTCACGTGGCTTTGGCTTTACTCTTGTTTCCTCAAGGAGCCCTAATGGTGCAGTGGTTAAGCACTTGGCTGCTAACCAAAGGGTCAGTGGTTCAAACTCCCCAGTCGCTCTGTGGGAGAAAGATGAGGCAGTCTGCTTCTGTCAAGATTTCAGCCTTGGAAACCCCATGAGGCAGTTCTACTCCGCCCTGGGTTGCTATGAGTGGGAATCAACTTGATGGCAGTGAGTTTGGTTTGGCTGGTTCATGACACTGGCATATGATGGAAACTCAGCTGTCTCAGATAGAGATCATAATACCTACTTCATAGAATGGTTCAGGCCAGTGGTTCTCTGCCTCGGCTGCAACTGGCATCACCTGGGAACATTACACACCTCCCCCATCTCTGGTCCTACTCTAGATACAGCCTGTGCTTCAGAGTTTTTTAAAGTTCCCCTGGTGATTCTAGCGTGAAGGCAAGGTCAAGAACCCCTGGTTTAGACAGCAGCCAGAGCCAATGAGAAAATAGAAAAACAACTGATGTGTCTGAACTGTGCTGATGG